CAAATACTAATTAAAGTCAAAATAATTGTAAAAAAAATTAGTTGTTGAAACTCTGGCATATTTTGCTAACAATTATGCCCAGAATTCTGTTGTTACCATGTTGTTTCTGGGAGCAACTTTCTATACTAGGGGATTTACTTTCTATACTAGATAAAATAATAGAAGCTTTTCAAGAATTTTCCACAGTTTTAAATGGCACTTCAAATTCTCCTGTCCAATTTCAAGTTCATTTTATTCTTCTCTTCATCTTGTCTGCTGGTCTTCATAATATTCTGCTCCATTTTTCTTCCCTAGTCTTGCAATCTCTTAATATTAAAAAATGAGAGCAAAGACTTAGCCTGCTTTTTTGCAGATTAAACTGTTGGGTATACCATCATGCTTTTGATCTATCACAGACACAGATTATGTTTATTTTAGCAAGACATTGCTTTTACGTGCTGTATAATGTATGTCTTGATTATGTTTTAAGCAAATTTCAGCGCTTTTTCCTTCCATCAAATCTGGAATCGGGGGCCCAGAAGATGTGAAGGCAATAATGCTTCCAAGATAACTGGGCTGCATCCGTATTTGTAAAATAAGGGACACTTCATTTCCCACATCTTAACGGAGTGTTCCTTCTCCGACCCGTAGTGATGTTTTTATTCTACTGCTATAGAAATGTACCTCGCCCCACTCTTGAACATGCTTCCTTACTCTCTTTCCACAAGTTCCTTGAAAGAGACCCCCTGGGCCCGATCCAGAGCATCGCTGCATCCATAGCAACCAGACTTCAGCTTCCTCTGTCACCATGGTGCCGGCTCGGCCGGGGCCTGGTGGTCGCTATGGTAACTGGGGGCGGGTCGCAGGGTCTCGGCAGCGGGGCGCATGCGCGCGGGGACTACTGTGTGCGCCGCGCGGCCGCGGGCCCCTCAGCTCCCCTCGACATGGCGCTGAGGCGGCGGCCAGGACTCCGGCTCTGCGCCCGATTGCCCGGCTTATTCCTGTTGCTGCTTTTCAGGGGTGAGTTTGTGCGTTTCTGCCTTGGGAGACTAGGGTCTGAGGGTAAGGGAAGCAGAGCGGGCCGAAACGGCTGGAGCCAGCAGGGGCGGGAATAGAGCTCCCGGCTCCGAGGACTCCGAGGGTCCCGGGCCGGAGGGGCGGGGGCCCAGGCGGCAGGGGGTGGGATCTGGGCTTGGTTCGGAGCAGGGGCCCGTGGGAGGCCCAGGAGGCTCGACCCTGGCAGGGGTTAGTCCTGGGCAAGGGGCCCGTCCCGGGGAGTGGGTCTGACCAGGGCGGGGGACCCTGTGCCTTGCGGTGGGCTTACTCCCGGTGGTGGGCTCGACTGGGGCGGTGGGCCTGTCCCGGGCAAGGGAGGGGCCTGACCCGGCGGGGGGCTGATTCCTGCTAGGAGACTCATCGCGGGCGGTGGGCACGGCCTCGTGGAAGGACTGCGGCTCCTGCGGCGTGGGCTTGGGAACTTGCTAGAAGACGCTGCAGAGCAGTTCCTTGCCCAGGAGAAGTGGAGAGTGAGGGAAGGGCGTTGCGAAGTACCAGCGAGGCAGAACTCAGGGGCTTGTCTGGCTTCTTGGTCACAGCCCTCTGGGGATCTGCTGTGAATATGTGACTCTTGCCATAAACAAAGGAACTGCTTTCCCTTCCTAGAAGTAAAACGCTTGGATATCAACCTTTTTTGTCTCCAGCCTGGCTGAAGAGACCACACAGACCTGGAAATAGCATTTGGGCCATTCGATCAAGATACACTCATAAACTTGGGAGTTTTGTTCATTTTCTTTCCCATTGTTGGAATTCTCATTAGATCTGCATATCCCTAGACAGCTGGACAGGAGGACTAAAACAGCTGATATTTAGTGAGCATGTACTATATACTGGGCACTTCCATTATCTCATTTA